TTAATATTTAGTTTATGCAGCTATAGAATCTCTTCATACATTTATGTATAGTTTTATCTCTTCATACATTTGACCAAAACAAACTCTGGTGCCCACTCTTCAGGGTTCAGTCTTACAATTTTGGTTAGTTTTATTCATAGTTTTAAAGTCCTCCAAGAGAAATTAGGGTTAGGGTGATTTAGGGAAAACACAAAAACAAATTTAGTTGAATTTCAAAGTCTCTTTGGTCCGGTTTAAACGAAGAGTCGACACGGCGACTCAAAACCATGTAGTTGTAGCTTACGGCCATTAGGGGGCAGCGTAACAACACGACACACCAACCTCCAGCAGTATTTTCACTTCCTCAAAACCATCCTCCTCAGGCCAAAGACGGGAAAGAACCAACATCCTTCTGTAACAGCAGCAGTGAAACTACAGAGACCAAAGAGAGACCAGAGAGGGAGATCAAAGAGAGAGACCAGAGAGAGAGACCAGAGAGAGAGACCAGAGAGAGAGACCAGAGAGAGAGACCAGAGAGAGAGACCAGAGAGAGAGACCAGAGAGAGAGACCAGAGAGAGAGACCAGAGAGAGAGACCAGAGAGAGAGACCAGAGAGAGAGACCAGAGAGAGAGACCAGAGAGAGAGACCAGAGAGAGAGACCAGAGAGAGAGACCAGAGAGAGAGACCAGAGAGAGAGACCAGAGAGAGACCAGAGAGAGACCAGAGAGAGACCAGAGAGAGACCAGAGAGAGAGACCAGAGAGAGACCAGAGAGAGACCAGAGAGAGAGACCAGAGAGAGAGACCGGAGATAGACCAGACAGAGACCAGAGAGAGACCAGAGAGAGAGACCAGAGAGAGACCAGAGAGAGAGACCAGAGAGAGACCAGAGAGAGAGACCGGAGATAGACCACGTAGTATTAGCATTAGCCTTAGCCATTGTTGTTCACGTTCTACTGCGTCCAAATGTACGAAGTGATGAGGTCATCAGAGAAACAGCCGCAGCGTCTCTGTTCTGTTCCACTCTGGAGCCTGAGTCTGAGTCTGAGTCTGAGTCTATCTGAGTCTGAGTCTATCTGAGTCTGAGTCTGTCTGAGTCTATCTGAGTCTGAGTCTATCTCAGTCTATCTCAGTCTATCTCAGTCTATCTCAGTCTATCTGAGTCTATCTGAGTCTGAGTCTATCTGAGTCTATCTGAGTCTATCTGAGTCTATCTGAGTCTATCTGAGTCTATCTGAGTCTATCTGAGTCTATCTGAGTCTATCTGAGTCTATCTGAGTCTATCTGAGTCTATCTGAGTCTATCTGAGTCTATCTGAGTCTATCTGAGTCTATCTGAGACTGAGTCTATCTGAGTCTGAGTCTATCTGAGACTGAGTCTATCTGAGTCTGAGTCTATCTGAGTCTGAGTCTGTCTGAGTCTATCTGAGTCTATCTCAGTCTATCTCAGTCTATCTCAGTCTATCTCAGTCTATCTGAGTCTATCTGAGTCTGAGTCTATCTGAGTCTATCTGAGTCTATCTGAGTCTATCTGAGTCTATCTGAGTCTGAGACTGAGTCTATCTGATTCTGAGTCTCTCTGAGTCGAAATTAAATAGTTTAAATTCTTGGACCCAAAACATCACAAAAAGCAAAACCATATTTGAGCTGCAGAGTCCTGTTCTGTAACCACG